GCCTCCTGGGTTCTGGCAGTTCTCCTGCCTCAGCCTCCTGAGCAGCTGGGATTACAGGCATGCGCCACCATGCCCAGCTAATTTTTTGTATTTTTAGTAGAGACGGGGTTTCACCTTGTTGACCAGGATGGTCTCGATATCTTGACCTCGTGATCCACCCGCCTCGGCCTCCCAAAGTGCTGGGATTACAGGCGTGAGCCACCGCGCCCGGCCCATTTTGTATATTTCTTAAGATAATCTGGACATGTACTACTGGTGGCATGTTAAGATGATGTTACAAAGTATTTTACCAGTGAGTCAAAACAATTCTTTTTAGTTTTCTTTTCTATCTTCTGATTTTGTCAAGTATAATGTTAGGTGCTAACATATGATTTAATGCTTTTATAACAATCATTCATTCATTCATTTAGAGAGGGAGTCTTGCTCTGTCTATATGGTTTAATGCTTTTATAACATTTATTTATTTGTTTATTTAGAGATGGATACTCTCTCTGTTGCGCAGGATGGAGTGCAGTGGCACGATCTCACCTCACAGCAACTTCCACCTCCTGGGTTGAACCAATTCTCCTGCTTCAGCTTCCTGAGTAGTTCAGGAGCGTGCCATCACATCTGGCTAACTTTTGTGTTTTTAGTGGAGACAGGGTTTCACCATATTGGTCAGCCTGGTCTCAAATTCCTGACCTTGTGATCTGTCCACCTCGGCATCCCAAAGTGTTAGGATTATAGGCGTGAGCCACTGTGCTTGGCCTATAACACTTATTTATTTATTTATTTTGGTGGTGGAGTTTCACTCTTGTTGCCCAGGGTGGAGTGCAATGGTGCGGTCTCGGCTCACCACAACCTCCGCCTCCTGGGTTCTGGCAGTTCTCCTGCCTCAGCCTCCTGAGCAGCTGGGATTACAGGTGTGTGCCACCATGCCTGGCTATCTTTTGTATTTTTAGTAGAGATGGGGTTTTACCATGTTGGTCAGGCTTGTCTCAAATTTCTGACCTCAGGTGATCCACCCATCTCAGCCTCCCAAAGTGTTGGGATTACAGGATTGTGCCACTGTGCCCGGTCCTATAATACTTATTAATCTCCTTTTTTAAAATGAAGACAGAGGGCATTATGCTTAGTCTTGAGCACATAATGGTACTTTCTCAAAATGTAGAACCTTTGAAGTTTGTGTGTGTCTCCCCTCCCTCAATTTATTATCTTCTATTTATGGAACAGTGAAAGATAATTCCCTTTAGAAATAAATTGATTTAAGCAAAAATAATTTGATTATGAATTTTAAAGAAGATTATGGGTATACACAAAGAAGGCAGAAAGCCAGAAACATGAAGGAGTAGATGAATAGGAGTAGTTGAGAACATGAAAGATCTTTGTCTCTGTTTATATTATTGTTGAATTTTTATTACTTATAGTGTATAGTCAAGTATGTTAACTTATCATTGCCAGGTTTCCATGGATCTCAATAGTGCCAGCACTGTTGTTCTTCAGGTCTTAACACAGGCCACCAGTCAGGATACTGCTGTGTTAAAACCAGCTGAGGAGCAGTTGAAGCAGTGGGAAACACAGCCAGGTTTCTATTCAGTGTTGCTGGTAAGTTGTTCTAAAATTGTGTACTTTCCTTTTTAATAAAATGAGACAACATTAATTTGATTGTTTTTAAAACTTAGTTTTATTGGTAGTTTAGTGAAATAGATTCAAATGTTTGGCTGCTGTTGCTTCCGCCGTTGTCTTACTACTTTATGACTTCTTAAGGGTTGATAAGAAATATTTGTTCATAAATATAAAAATAAGCAAGGCATATGTAACATCTGTTCAGAAGGCAAAACTGTGATGATCTTCGGTTTGTTTTTTTTTTTTGAGACGGAGTTTCGCTCTTGTTACCCAGGCTGGAGTGCAATGGCGCAATCTCGGCTCACCGCAACCTCCGCCTCCTGGGTTCAGGCAATATTCCTCCCTCAGCCTCCTGAGTAGCTGGGATTACAGGCACGCCCCACCATGCCCAGCCAATTTTTTTTTGTATTTTTAGTAGAGACGGGGTTTCACCATGTTGACCAGGATGGTCTCAATCTCTTGACCTCATGATCCACCCGCCTCGGCCTCCCAGAGTGCTGGGATTACAGGCGTCAGCCACCGCGCCCGGTGATCTTCGGTTTTAATATGTTATAGTAGCTACCATCAGGACTTCAGGTAGCACACTTTCATATTCTGTCCTTGTCTTTACCCCATGTAATTTATGTTGCAATAGTTGTTCAGATCTCCACATCAGGCATACCACACATTTCACTTTAAAATATTTTCTTTTCTCGTCTAAAAATTTCATTTTCTTGGCCCAACTGATTTTTTCTTGGGTGTAATGGGAAATAGTATAATTAATTAACAATATGTGCTTTAACCAAACCTTTATTGGAGTTTAAAGTTTTTGACTAGTTAATCAAAATTATTTTCTCAATGCCAGAATGAAAGAAGTCATTTTGTGTTAAACAGCTTCCTTATACTTTTCTTCTGAGAAATTGAGAACTCTGATTAGTGTTTAAGGTTTAGCTTCTGGTCAGGACAACAAAGCTGGGTTGGGTTAAAAACTGATTCAATATTTGTGACTGGGTCATAGATTCAGAGCAAAATTGTTTACCATATCTTGCAAAATAAGTGATAACAGTTGTCATATACTTCTTGGCCCAGAAAATTTGATTTGTTTATTAGATTGAAGAAAATATTGGTCATGACTGTAAGGGAAATTGTTTAGAGTCAGACTTGTTATTCTGAATATAACAAAAAACGTAGACTGTTTGGGTCAGTAACAAAAAGGTAAAAAAAAAAAAAGATTGATTTTAAAAGATACTAAAAAAATATCTTATTCTTTATGTAATCCTAGCATCATGTTTGTACATTTTAGGCATAGTATAAATCTTTAGAAATTATCTTGAGTAGGGCCGGGCATGGTGACTCTTGCCTGTAATCCCGGCACTTTGGGAGGCTGAGGCAGGTGGATCACCTGAGGTCAGGAGTTAGAGAGCAACATGACCAACGGTGAAACCCCATCTGTACTAAAAATATAAAATTAGCTGGATGTGGTGGCGCCTGTCTGTAGTCCCAGCTGCTTGGCCGAGGCAGCTTGAACCCGGGAGACGGAGGTTGCAGTGAGCCAAGATTCCGCCGTTGTACTCTAGCCTGGGCAAGAAGAGTGAAACTCCGTCGGAAAAAAAAAAAAAAAAGACAATCTCTTGAGTATCTTTACTCTTCTTACACTTATTTAAATGAATATGCTCTATAATTAGAATTGAGCTGTTTCAGGCCAAAATATAAAACACTTTTAGAATTTCTTATTTTAATTACTGCTGGACCTTAAAAACCAATAGGCATTGCTTAACTGTTGTCTTTATGTATAAATAACTATACATTGTCAATAATTTTAAATGCCTAGGTCTTTTTTTTTTTTTTTTAAAGTAGAGACAGGGTCTTGCTTTGTTGCCCAGGCTGGTCCCAAACTCCTTGGGCTCAAGTGATCCTCCCACCTCAGCCTCCCAATGTCTTTATTTTTACTAGCTGTAATTTTATTCTTAAAGGAGGGATATAACATTTCTTTTATATTGTGGAACAGATTATATTTATAGTAGATGAACAAGCTGCTGTGTTTTAGTCTTCCTTTTTCTTCTATACTCACTATCTTGGCACATTTGATCTTCCCTAGCTGTCCATTCTAGTCAGGAGACTCCTATATTTGTATACATGATCTCAGGTTTATGTACTAGTCCTGTTACTCAAAGTACTTATAGGATATTTCAACTTGGATTGACATCTGCAGCATGACTTTTCTTGTTTTCCCAAGAGTAGTTGAGATAGACTCACCAACTTTTACAATATTCCCATATTACTTCCATTCATTCTCTCATTTGCTCAGTAGAAAGTTAGGAAGTTTCTGCTTTGCCAGGCACTGTGCTAGGATCTAGACATAGACAAGACTCAATCTAGTATAGAAGGTGGACATGTAATGTGTCAAGATCAAATGTGATTAATCTGGTAAAAGAAGTGCATCTTTTATAATGGAGACCCAAAAGAGGGACTTGCACCCAGTTGCCAGCGGTTTAAAAGAATAAATGGGAGTTACACAACTATTGTAATCGTTTTTTTTTTGTATTTACACATGATTTTCTAAAAATAACTATAGTGTACATTCATTTTATTTTTTTCTGAGACGGAGTCTCGCTCTGTTGCTTGAGCCCAGAGTGCAGTGGCAGGATCTCAGCTCACTGCAACTTTTGACACCCGTGTTCACGCAGTTCTCCTGTCTCAGCTTTCTGAGTAGCTGGAATTACAGGTGCCTGCCACCATGCCTAGCTAATTTTTTGTCCTTTTAGTAGAGATGGGAGTTTCACCATGTTGGCCAGGCTGGTCTCGAACTCCTGACCTTAAATGATCCACCTGCCTCAGCCTCCCAAAGTGCTGGGATTGCAGGTGTGAGCCGCCACATCCAGCCTGCATTCCTTTTTAACAAATAGTTGGCTGAGTGCAGTAGCTCATTCCCGTAATCCTAGTACTTTGGGAGGCGAAGGCGGATAGATCACCTGAGGTCAGGAGTTCTAGACCAGCCTAGCCAACATGGCAAAACCCTATCTTTGCTAAAAATACAATAGGTAGCTGGTCATTACACGCCTGTAATCCCAGCTACTCAGGAGGCTGAGGAAGGAGAATCGCTTGAACCCGGGAGGTGGGAGGTGGAGGTTACAGTGAGCCAAGATCGTGCCACTGCACTCCAGCCTGTGCAACGGGAGTGAAATGCCGTCTCAAAAAAA